CTGATTTTGCGCGGCTGCCAGGCCGACGTCGAACGCCCTACTGACGATCTGGTTCACCGCCTTGGCCGTCGCTCCTCTCCGAGTTCCGGCCCCTGTTGGAACTGACGGGCCGCCCCGCCGCCTTCGACGAAATCGCCGCCCCAGGCGCGGCCCGCGTCGGCCAGCGCCCGCTTCGAAGTTACTCGCGAAAGCCTGCATCTGGAGCCAGCGCGTTGCGCGTCAGGGCCCTCTGGGGCCATTGGGGTTATCATGGGCTTGCTCAGCTTCGAATCATTCCCGGTCTCAATCGAAACCGTCGCAGGCCTCAAAATATCCCACCTCTCGCAAAGCACAGTCTGCTAAGTGTTAATCCGCTCGATACCGTCGCCGTCGGCGAGTGGCTGAAAATCTCCTCGATCGGGTCGGTGCGCTCGCAGTCCTCGATCGAGCTGTCGTTCGAATCGGACTCGCACGCGCGCTCGTTGAACGCGCCCCAATCGGAGGCCTCAGGCCTACTCTAAACTGGCGGCGCAAATATTCGCGCGGGTTTCAGTGCTCGCGACTTCCGGTCGGGGCCCTTCTGCCGCCCTCGCAATTCTGGCAGGGCCCCCAATCCAGCAACGCACTGCTGGCGCATTGAATTTCCCAGCAGCCCCTGTTCTGGGCTGGCCGCTAACGCGGCCGCCTAGGCGTCCCAATGTCTCAGCGTCTACACTCGTGTGCAAGATCTCGAGAACCTGTCTGAAGTCCTGCTCGGTCTGGGGGATCTGCTTGCCGCCGAGGTCCTGGGCCATGTCGATGCACGAGTGCCCGGTCGAGATCCGCTTCAGCTTCGCCAAATGTTTCGGCGCGATCTCGCTGAAACGGGCGGCCCCGGACTCGAAGTCGACCGCGGCCCCTGCGCGCTGCGCGAAGTCAGCCGAGGCCAGCAGCGGCGCGCAGCGCCCCCCCCCCCCCCGGTGTTCAGCATGTAGCTCGATGCGCTTCCATGGCTCCTCCAGGCTGGCCCTGCATGAACACTGCTCCGCATCGCCGTTCGCAAACCCGAGCTTCGGCCCATTCGCCGCGCCGACCTCCGCAAAGCTCGCGTCGATGCCAGCCTGCTTCTGCTGTTCAAACATCTTCTCGAGCGCCGCGACGGGGCCGAACGTCTTCGTCGCCCCGCAATCGAGCGCAATGCGCCCCTCGGTCCCCGCCGCGAGCCCAGCCAGCGCACGCTCGATCTCGGACTCCGCGCAGGCCATCTCCACCCTGGAAATGTCGACGTCATCTCCGCCGCAGTCGCCCCGGCTGCCGAGGCTGAGCGCCGGCGCTCCGACTTGCGGCGGTCGGCCCTGCGGCTGTCTGCGCCCTCGAGCCTGCCTGCGTTCTTCTGGTAATCAACCTTCTGGCGCGGTCCCCCGCAAATGAAGCAAATGCCAGCGCTGCCATTGCCACCCCCCCTGCCCTTGCCCCTCCGGTAGAGCCCCCCAGCTCTGCTCGACGTCCTTCACGACAGCCCTGGCCTGCGACAGACCCCCCTCTGCTGATCATTGACGTCCGTCCTGGCGTTCGCGATCATCGCGAGCGCCTCCTCGGCCTCCGCGCGCTCGTCCTCGTCCGAGCCCTCTACGTCGATCTCGTCGTCTCTCTCCTCGAAGCCGCCGAATGCATTCTGGTCATTCTCGACTTCCTCCTCGATCGCCCCCATGTCCTCATCTTCCTTCACCGAAGACTCCGAGCACTCGACCCTTACCAGGCTTGCGCGGGAACGTCTCGCGCCCCCGCCGCTGCCTGCGTCGCGCCCGTTTAAGCCGACGTCGGCCCGCTGATCCCGTTGCACGGACTCGAACCGAAGTCCCTGAGGTTCAGCGAGTCCTCGACTGACGAGAGCATTCCGGCCCGTTCCTGCGCGTTGAGTCCAGCTCTTTGAAGCAGTAGCCATCCTGCCATCACCGATGGGATGGGCGTCTCTCGCAACTCCGAGGCCACCTCCTCCTGCGCCTTGTCGAATACGTCTTCGTCCTCTAAGGCAGATCTCGCCATCAGCGAGCACGGCACCTCCGCGGCATGTTTCTTCAGCGTCGCCTTCTCGTGTGCCCTCAGCGATGATGCCGTCTGAGCTTGTGGCCATTCCCACTCCTTGGGCCCCGATGGGGAACTTGACTACCATCTGTCGCCGTACCACCGACCGTCCTGCCAGCTGTGGGACTCCTTTGTGTCTCCGTCTTCCACATCAGGTCGACATGGCTCCGCTGCAACTGACTCTAATCGCTCTTCGAGCCGAGCCTTCCTCTTCATCTGGATCCGGCATTCCGCGTCCAACTCCTCGATGCGACCAAAAAACCCTGGTCAAGCTTGTCTTCCGCGATCTGGCTCCTTCGCGCGTGTGCATTCATGCCTTTTTTGTTCCGCCGTCGCAGCATGAGCTGGTATTCCTTCAAGTATGTTGCAGCCTTCGGGGTTGGTTCGTCCATCGAAGACTCGTCCAAGAGCTGTCATAGGATTGCGTGCCGCCCGTCTTTTCTAGCAGCTCGCGCCTTTCATCCGAGACTTCCTCTACTCTAGCGCCTTCCAAACTTCACCTGTGAGGGCTGCCGTCAAACGAGCTCGAACCACATATTCGTGTCGATGGTGTACTGCTGAAAGCGGGGGCGACATCCCTGTCCCACGTGGATCCCTTGTTGGTATCGTCTCTGATATCTGCCATGATGCCGGGGAGCTGCAACAATTGGGGCCAACCGGCTCCGCTACCAATGCCGGTTCGACGACAGGCGTGCCGCAACTGATCTCGACGCGCTATCAATCAGAAACTCGGGGACCGTGGATCGATTGTCTTTCTTTTCCTGCACCAGGAGCAAGGCTAAGCCAATCACTGCTCGCCACGGGCCGGCGCGTCTCCAAAGAGTCACGCAAGGTATCCGCCGGCCTCCTCGTGGGGCCACCAGGCTGTACAAGTTGCTGCTCCCTGCGGCAGTTGCATTTTCAAGTCTCCAATGTTACAGTCCTGCTTTATGGTTCCTAGTTTAAATGGTTGAGGTCCGCGCGAGGTGGGGGAGCCCAACAGGATCCAACTTACCACGCCCGGATCGCGTTGTCTGAATTCTTGGGGGGGGCGTGGGGCACGTCAAGATACTTGAGGTCCGCGTCCCCTAGGCCATAATCCCTAATAAATTACGCATTGCTGCGTCCCACGCAACAAGCCATGGTCAACCACGCCATTGTTGCGTCCCTGGGGCAACAAGCCTTTTTGAAAATCACTTACTATTCGCGTCCCCGAGGCAACATACCCCTTTTATAAATTACGCAATATTCGCATTCGCGAAGCCATAAACCATCGCATATTAAGCCGTATTCGCATTGCCGAAGCCAAGAGTACTCCAATGCGCCCGAATATGTTTCCAAGACGGCCCAAGAAGGCCCAAAGGGGCCCCAAGAGCGCTCCAAGAGGCCTCCCGAGAGCCCCAAGAGGCCCAATTCGTAGATGTTACACAAGTGTTTGAAGGATGTTGGCCTTCTTTCATGTTCGGCGCTCCGACGCTCCAAGACGGCTCAAGAAGCTCTGAAGGCCGCCTCCAGACAGCCCAAAACGCGTCCAAGCGGGCCCCAAGACTGCCCAAGAGGTCTCAAGATGGCCCAAGAAACGGTCAAGACGGCCCCAGAGAGCCCCAAGACGCCCCCAATGGGGGCCTAAGCAGGGGACCATGAACAGAACGTTCGATATTTGTGCCCCGAGACGCCCCCAGGCGGCAACAAGAAGCCACCAAGAGGCCCCAAGAGGCGCCCAAGACGCGCCCAGGCGGCCTCCAAGAGGCCCAAAAGATACCCCACGAGGCCCCAAGAGGCACCCAAGAGGCGCCCAAACCGCCTCCAAGAGGCCCCCGAGAGGCTCTCCACAACACCACAACACATATACAAGAGGCCTCAGACCCATAACCCAGGCACGGCCGCGGGATGAGCCGAAGGCCACTAGGATAACGCCAACGTCTCAATATGCGCTCATGATTCCTATCCGCCCCCGCATGATGTTCCCAGATGCGCCAATGCAACGCCGAGACGCACCGACGCGACTCTGATGTATCACAGTATGGTAGAGAGGGGGCCAGCGGCAGGGGGCGAAGCCCTTACGGATAATATTATATTCTTCCCTCTCGTAGATAAAAATGAGTTTATCTGGCTCAATCGCGAGCTTTCTGGAGCTCGAGAAGTCAGGGTACCGCCCAAAAGGGGGCTCAAAGTGCCCCAGGAGCCAATGGTTACGGACAACAATAATTGAAACGGATGACGGTTCGCCAAAAAACGCGTTTCACACCGGTGGGTTTACGGAAGGGGAGCAGGGGAAGCAGACGCAGACGTAAGAGCAACCTGAGCCTGAGGAGGCAGTACGAGAAGTGGGAAAAGGAAGGAGGGGGATACGAGTTCCTGTGTCAAGAGTCAAGATCAGCTCGCGCCGCTGAGGCAGGAGGAACGCGAACGCGTAGGAGCAGCACACACACACACACACACACACGCACGCACGCACGCACGCACGCACGCACGCACGCACGCACGCACGCACGCACGCACACACACACACACACACACACACACACACACACACACACACACACACACACACGCACACACGCGCGTGGACGAGACCCAACCCGCTCAAAGTAGGAGAACGACAGAAAATGCCATGAAAGAGAATGGGTCCTGAGGGAAACGGTTCTTGGACCCCGGGGCAATCCCCGAGACCAGCGTTTTATCTCGAATCGTTGTTTGATGGTCTCGGGGCCCAAGGAGAGCCCCGAGACGGCAAACAGCTTCCGTGACCCCTTTTCCTTCTGTCCCCCCTATCCTGGAGAAGCCGCGCAGAAGGAGGATTGCACCTCAGAGCACTCAAAGCACATGCGCGCGTGCCTGTCAAAGAGGCCTCCGAGAGGAGAGCCCCACGAACCCGGAGGGAGAGGGAGAGACGGAGAGAGAGAGGGAGAGACGGAGTAGACGACTACTGACAGATGGCAATGGCAAGTGAGCTTAGCGTTGAGATAATGGGGCGCCTGGCAATGAGTGCAAGAACGAGTGGATGCCGAACCAGCCAATCCTGCCGCTTCCCCTTCTGCAAGCTTGCGACGGCTCATCCGATCGAAATATTGAGCAAATGTGTGCTTCCAGTCGCTAGCAAAGTGACCCCGCCGCACAACATCAAGGATGTGGGAAGACATGTCTCCGGCGCGCATCGCGAGCTATTCACGACGCGCCACACTTACTGGAGCATCGATTCCCGAGGGGGGGGTCCAACAATGTGGAACTCGTTCTCACTGCACTGCAATGGAACCAAGGAGTCATCAGCGCAGAGCCAAAAGCATGTCCATGCTGGGTTATAAACGCTAGGCGAAATAAATCGACGGATCGACTACATCACTGCATCATCGTCTTTCCCATCCTTCTTCCCCTCTTGCCAGGCCCGGTTTCGTCCTGACCTTGTTGGGCCTCCGCGCAGTTAGCTACGCACCCGAATGGCTGAGCGCGTTCTGATGTCCAGATGCGCCTCGCTCATGCCGCAATCTGACGTCGGCGCTTGAGCCGAAGGCTTCGCGATGGCAGCACGCGGTCCAGAGAGGCTGCGCATGACCAAACCACGGGAAGGCTGTCAGGCTTAGGCGCATCCCAGGGCTACTCTGCGGGCTTCCGGCCTATTTCTGGGAGCCCCAAACATGCGTTCTGGATTCCTGGGCCTATTCTGGGAAATCCTGGGATCTATGTTGTGGGGGCGCGGACATTAATTATGTATCAATACCTGTTTCGACACTTACTCTTTATCTTGATGTGGCCAACACCATTTTTGAAGTTATCTCACCCCCCGCCGTGGCTCGAGCCGTCCTTCTAACACACCCCGCCGACCCTATAGCCCCCCACCCACCTTTCCGCGGGCGACGAAGCAGAGAGCATGTAGCATTGTAGGAGGTTGGGATGCAAACCATCGTGCTCTCTGTCGATGGCTGCGCCCGAAGGGGGCAACTGTCAATTAATATGATAACCGTTCGAACCAGCACAGTGGGAGCCCGATTGCGCCCCACTCGTATCGCACAGCGCATGCGCCAACTATTTTCCGTCGGCGGCGATGCATAATTGGGTGCACCAGCGCAAAACCTAGAAAGGGGACACAGAAAAACGTATTAGCCAACGTGCAAGAGCGGGACGAGGGCAGAGATGGTGGCCGCGGAAGGGGGGAAAGACAAAAAGAGCAGAGGCGGAATGTTTATCCCTGAGTGTGCTTGCGCGGCCGACCCCGCCAGCGGGATCCACGCCAGCTGCTGGGCCGCGGCGCCAGGGCACCCCAGGGCGATGACGACGCCCAGTGCGGGTAAAGCAAATACAAACCAATGACGCCGCCGATGAAGTAGGCGAGAAATTTGGTCGACAGGACTAGGGCCGCAGGCCGCCCAGGTGGGTGGCGTGTGTCAAGGTACGGCAAGTACGTGTGCAGTCTAGGTTTGGACTGCAACCAGCAAAATGCTGGGTCCGTGTAGGCGAGCAGGCGGCAAGACCAAGCCCAAATGCCCGACCACGTGGAGGCTGCGAGCTGCGGCAGCCTCGCGAGCGCCATGGCGGCGCGCGGAGGAAAGGGAGAGAAGGGGGCGGCGAAAGGGGGGGAGAGGTCGAGGAAGAGGAACGCCCCGCGTGCGGGGAGATCCCCGCAGTCGGGGCGGCAGCGCCGGCGCCAACGCCGGCGGGCGCAGGGCAGGCAGCCCGCGCACTGTGTTGCCGCGGACGTCTGCGCGTTGCCCCGGTCGGCGGGCCAAGGGATGCCCAGCGAGGATGCCTATAACCAAACTGTGGCCAAGGCCGTGGACCGCGCGATTCCGGGGAGGAGAGCGCGGGCCGGAAGGCACCTAACCGGTGCGGAAGCTGTTGGAATGAGGCGGTTGAGGGCCTCAACCGCCTCAACTTGAGGCCAAGGCCGCGCGCTGCCGGGGTGGACAACATGTGGGCAGGGCACCAATCCGGCCAAAACTGTGGCCGAGGCCGAGGGGCCGCGCACTGCTGGTGAGGACAGCGCGGGCCAAGACTAAGGGCACCGAGTCGGTGCGGAGACTGTTGGCGCGCGGCGTGTAAGTCTGTCGGGTGACTCAGAGGGCGATGAGGGGCGGCGCAGACGGGGCCGGGCGCCTTGCATGGTCTCGGGTGCACTGCGGGCTAGGCGAGGGCGGCGCGGGGGGTCCGTTGTCTGCGTCATGGCCAGGGGTTCTGAGCTGACCATTGGCGCCATCGTGTCACGTTCCCGCCTTGAGGGTCTGCGGCCTGATGCCCTGGTCTGGCCTTGGAGCAGGGGTCTCACAGGCCTGAAAGAGCGTGATCCAACGCCGCCTCATTGTGGAAAATTCACCCCCCTGTTCTTCCGGACCCCAAAGGTCCCCCCACTTCCGGAGATCCCCTCCCGTCCGTTGCTCGACCCCCCCTCCCCCCCCCTCCCTCCACAACCCCCCTTCCCTTCACCAGGCAAAACCCCCACCCCCGTAACCCCTGTCAGGGGGCCTCTGGCTGGGGCGGAGCTGCGCCGCTCGGCCTGAGGGCATGTCCATAGTTTGCCGCGAACTGACATGGACATGGCGGTGGGATTCGCGTCGGCATCGGGCGTACTACAATGCCCCCGCAGGGGAGACCTCGGGCTCCGGATCCCCTGCGAAGCGCGGAAGCTTGCAAGGAGGTGATGACTGTACCTGTTCGGATCCCTGCCCAGGTCTTGGTACAGCTGGGGATGGTCAGCTTCCAGGTGGGAGGTTCACTGCTCGGCCAGGCAGTCCATTCCGTTGCTCGGCGCGCGTCCATTCTGCCGGGTGAGGCAGGTCACCAGGTGCACAAGGGCGGCCCGTCTTCCATCCCAGGGGCCTCGGGTATTCCGTCGCCTGGGATCGCTGGGCCGTAGATGCTGTTGAAGAAGCCCTTGCAGTCGTCCTCCGTCCACGCGAGAGGGCCCCGCAGGGCGTCGCGTGGTCCGTCTGGGCGCGGTCGCCGTCGCTGTAGCTCGTCGGTCCACTGCCGCCAGGTCTTTTCGACGTTGTCATGGAGTGCCCCGGCGTGTTGGACCATGGTGTGGGCGATGGCGTGGTCCTCCTCTCCCTCTTTCGGATCCAGGTTGACCGTCGCGCGGGGTCGCAAGGCGGCAACTTCCCGCGCGGCTAGGCTGGGATGTATGGCGGGGGCGGCTGGTCGGGGAGGTCGAAGAGCATTCTTTCGGCGACGGCGAGGTCAGCGGGGGGTGGGACACAGGGCTTGTCGCCCGGGCCTGGGTCTCAATCGCTTCGCCTAGACTGGGGGCTCCTGTCTGCGAGAGCGTCGGGCTTGGCTGGGTCTGACATTTTTGGCCCGAGTCCAAAGGCGCGGCTGCGTTGCCGCCCTCGGTCTGGCGGTGGGGTGCGGTAGAGGTCTTCTGCCGAACGGCGGCTGCTATGCCCGTCTCCAGGCCCCTCCCTGCTCTGTCTGCTGGCGGGCGACGCGGCAGGTAATTAACTTGTTGCCGCGTGATCGTGCGCCGCGGTCCCTGCGGTCGCGGTGATCGCCTCCTGGTCTTCGTCTCCGCTCTCCCTGGGGGTGCGCTGGCCGGCCCCTGCGGTCGTGCCCTCGCGAGGACGTTCGCTCCCCTGGGGTCTGCTAATTCTTAAATTAAGAAATAATATGTTATGTTATATAAGAACCCAGGATCTTATAACAAGAACACATACGTGTCATTGCATACCGTTTTCAAGGAATGCATGCGTTTTGAAGCACGCGGCTGTTCGAAGACGTGTATCGACGTTCGGGTCTACCAACTCCGCACATGAGAGCTAGCTGCACAATACATGATGACGATAACATCACCAACACATGCGAACGCACGTGACGTGATAGTAATTCCAAAGTGTGCGACACAATAATGCAAAAGCACGCGTGCGTGAATTCATCTCGTCGCAATCGTGATAGCAATCGATCGGTGGGAAGATGAATTGGCCGAGGAGGAAGAGCGGACGGAGAAATGTTTGCCAGGGAGATGTGCCAGCTTTCGACGTCGAGGGCCAGCCAATGTTTGCACACGAGCCTAGCCGAGCAGCTGCAAGCGGGCAGGGATTAGCAGGTTAAGGATCGGTGGAAGGAGGGTACGTTGTAACAAATCAAGTCACGCCACCTCCCCTATCAAATGCCGCATCCTCTTCTTCCTCGTCCACATCCTCTTCGTTCCACTCCCCGCGTTGTCCATCATGCTCTGCCCATAGTACGTCGTATCATCTCCCTCCTCCTCCTCTTCATTCTCCTCCTCATCGCCTGATTGCTCAAGCGTACGCGAGCTGACCAGAGACGCAGGGAGGAGATCGAGGAAAGCGCGCAGATATACCGCGCCTCACTGCTGGAGGCGCGGCACTGTCAGCAAGGCTGCTTGCTTGCAAAAACGAGGCGGGTAATGCTCCGACCCCGATTGGGCGCGGTTGCCCGTCACCCAGTGATCACGACCCCAGTTGCTGGTACCCGTCGACACTTTGCGCTGCACCTGGCGCAGTCGGGGAGGGCGCGCGTCGGCGTTACCCTTCCTCCCCAGCCTCATCCTTCCCTCTCCGCCTCCTCCGCTTTCTCCTCTTCCTCATCCTTTTCCTTCTCCACGGTCTCCTCCCTACTCCCCCTCCTCATCCTCAATCCTTCCACTACTCGCACTTCCCATCCTCGAGTCCTCCCCAGCTGAGTGGTCTGCTCAGTCCGCGCGGCGCGCGCCGCTGACCCAGGAAACGGCGGCCGTCGGAGGTTGGAGGTCGAGGAAAACGGGGATGCGGATAACATTGATCCGCGGAGGAGGAGGAGGAGGAATGGTGAGCTTTCGCGGGGTGCATGTAGGGAACAGTAGGAGAAGTAGGAGGGGGAAGAGGAGGAGGAGGAGGAGGAGGAGGAGGAGGAGGAGGAGGAGGAGGAGGAGGAGGAGGAGTGGGCGTTCGTGCGAAGGAGAATAGGAGGAGGAGGATCGATGAGGAGGAGGAGGAAGAGGAGGAGGAGGGGTCGGCGCCTTCGTGAGCTGGGTGGCGCCGCCGCCCTGCTCCGCCAACACGCGCGCGGCAGCATTCTTGGTCGCGCCCAAAT